CGGAGAAAACAGAGCACCCGCGCCGACCGCAACCAAAAGCAAGCCGAGACCAATCGACAACAATAGAAGGCAACCATCCCACAACACTCAGAAGCCGGAGAGAATACTTACCTCCCACAGTCGTCAACACGCCGGCGGAACGGACCCGTGCCAATCGACGGCTAGAAAGGGGAACCCTGAATCCAACGAGAAGCGTCGAGCCCATCAGGCCGACCACGGCGCCCAAGACCTCACCCACTTCACCAGCCACCGTCCTCCGCCCAGACCCTCCCGTCGAAACGCCAGAAGGATGGAAGCAAAAAGGGGATCTGCTAACCCTAGGTGCATCCAACGGGGAAGGATTGAGCATGAGAGACGAGACCAGTTCATGGGTGAGCGGCGGAGCACGTTCTCCGATTATCCGGAATTCTACCGGGGGGAACAGGAGGCGCGATTAATTGCTTCCGATGAAGAAGGTTTTTTTCGCTATGGGGGAGACAAACCTTGATTTTTTTGGCATTTAATTTTGGAGTTTATATGGTACAAAAACACCAAAGTAATCAACATAAATGTTATGGAGTCATCGGATGATTATCTTATGGAGTCATGCATAACTTTATGTATTGACACGTGTCCAATGTGTATTTATTGCAGGACACGTGTCAATACACCATTTGTGGATAACTATGGATGACTCCATAAGCCGAGTCATCCGATGACTCCATAGCAAAACCAAAATAATCAATCCTAATTGCTAAAGAAATTCGTAGGCATATCCCATCACACTAAAAATTTCATGATTTTCAAAGCAAAAGCATATCCAATTGCACCAATATTATCCTTAAAAACAACAAAATACAGGAAAAGACTACAGACCTGTCACGGAATTGTTACGTGAGGGATTTTAGCCTTTAGATATGTATGCAAGTTAGTTATTATACATAATCTATGGCTAAAATCCCTCACGGAATCATTCTATAACGGGACTGTAGTCTTTTCCCAAAATACATAAGCTAATCTTATTATTTATGGATTACAACAAGAAATCCAATATCAGACTGAAAAATGAAAACAAAAACTTATATTCAATATTTATAACATGCACTTAGTATATGCATTAATTTCTTAATGAATTAGTAAAAACAGAATCATTTCACAGGACTTGAATTTTCTTCCCCAATGAGGTGATGATATTCTTGATCAAAATTAGTATCCTCAATGTCTGGCCTCCTCTCTGGGCCCTTCTCTCTGTTGTACACAATATCATCTCCATTAATATGATTGATACAATTTTAGGATATTTCCAAATACACAGAGATTTTAGTGAAATGCAGGTAAAAAGCTCACGTTTTCGAGTATATGAAAATACCGGCCACGACGAGCAGAAAGGCCGGATAATATAACCAGTCGACCTGCACGTTTTCAAAGCCGAAAGAATTTACGAAAAAAAATATCGTTAACCAAGGTACTTACAAAAAGAAGCTCGCTCGAAAGCAAATAAAAATAATAATAATAAAAGGAAAGAAAGTCGCGCCCTGCCTTCTGCTTGTAGATGAATGTTCTAACTACAACTGCCCAAATGTCGGATGTTAGAAGGGAAAGATTGAACAGTGTGGCTCCGCTTATCTGTATAAAACATAATCCATTTTAAAGCATGATCGACTATAGAGGATGTTTTAAAGGAGATGGGTTCGATTTTGTAGTTCTTTTAATTTCCTTTAAATTTATTATTCGATGCATGATATGTATAATGAACATTCAAAACTAGCCTTGAGAACGAAAGGAGCAAGCGTGTAGAACAGAAAGCTCGACAATGCGTAACCAGCGTATGCCGACACCTGAAAACACAAAGGAAAACAAAAGAAAACAAAAAATGATGATAAAAAGGAAAATCACATTTTTAGAATCGAACAATGAGCGTTCTTTTTGTACAATTGAATTCTAAATTACG